TGGGAGTGACGAGGTTGGACAGGATTAGGAACGAGTACATCAGAGGGACAGCTCATGTTGGACGTTTGGGGGACAAAGTTAGGGAGGCCAGATTAAGATGGTTTGGACATGTTCAGAGGAGGGAGAGTGAGTATATTGGTAGGAGAATGTTGGACATGGAGCTGCCAGGCAGGAGGCGAAGAGGAAGCCAAAGAGGAGGCATATGGAGGTAATAAATGAGGATATGAAGCTAGTGGGTGCAAGTGTTGAGGATGCAGAAGATAGGGATAGGTGGAGAGTGATGATTCGCTGTGGCGACCCCTGAAGGGAAAAGGCGAAAGAAGAAGAAGATAATAGCTCACAACAAAAACTGATGAAAAATCCTTTTTAAAAATCTCAGTTTTGAGAGAGCCACACTGTAAGTTTTCTCAGGCTGTTTTGAATAAAATGTCTCATCTTTATCATCTCTATGATAAAATAGACATGTACAGCTATAAATGAACAGAATAAGCAAATAGATTTATTTCATGTTAACTTCACACAAGATATGATCACAATACTGTACAGTTGATTTATTTACAGAAAACTACAATCATGATATTGTGGCATGTGCAAGTGTGAGGCTTTATATTGCCTTCAGCTCTCTCACATGTTTTTCACATGTAGATGATGTAAACCACAGCAACTCAATAAAAAAAATTCTATCGCTTGAAGGGAACATTGTATTGCAGGGAAACAGGTTCATGGCTCCCACAGACTCACAATTATGAAGAATTATATAAACAATGATAAGCAATTTTAATGGTTTATGTTAATGGGAAGAAAACATGTGCTCAACTATTTAATAATTAAAACCTTATGACGCATTTTGACTATATTGAGTATATACTGGCCCTGATATCCACTCATGCTGGCTGATTTGTGAGACTAATAAACAATGACATTCAAGTACTTTGTGTTCAGGACAGCCCCAGGTTGTTCTCAAGCCACACTGTTGAGAAGCGCTAGTTGACCCAGACTTATTCTAGGAGAACAAGGATTTGCTTTTGATGGACACTATAAAGCACTTGTTTCATACAGACTGTGAGGTGGCTGAGTGAGATCTTACCAATAAGCAGCAGGCTTCCCACTGCCAGTCCTCCTCCTAATGAAATAAGAAACGTCAAGACAAGTCATTATATCTAGAAGAATCAGTAAAATAATAAGAAAAGATATCGTTTAACACTTTTTAAATAAAAATATAGGTTACGTCTTCTCTATAAACTTACAGTACAGTTATTTATACTAACTGTATATGAAAGTAGATTTTCAATGTATTCCACTTTAGATCCTGTCCTATTGGCAGCTGCTATCGTCCCACAGCAGGGTTTTATTACATTAAACATTATGTGCAATGTTTTAAATGTGACTTTCACAGTCCCTGTGTTGAACTGCTAATGTGAAGCCGACTCACCGAGAGCGCAGTCCAATGACGGTACACCGGTAGAGATGATGAGCTGCCCGGTATGAACAGACGGTTTAGTACCAGGAATCTGAATCAGTTTACTGCGGGTTTTTTTCTGAAAACTGGTAGCGCTTGCCGATAAACGAATCCCTTTAATCGCGCTCTCCATGGGCGCCGCCATGCCTGATAGAGGAAAACAGATGACGTAGTAATGGCGCCGCCAATCAAAGCATTACGTTCGCGAGTTCAAAGGTCATAGCAGACGGATATGAATAAAATATTCCAGCCATAACTAAAAAGGTAAGGTTATTATACGAATACTGCTTCTAATGTGTACATTCGTGTTTTAAGGGGCGTGAATAAGTGTAACTTTATATAAATATATAAATAAACATGTAGAAAGTGCTGTGCAGTTGACTCGTTCCTGTAGAAGGAGGAGATGTTGGCGGTGTGTGCAGGAGCTCAGTCCTTTTTCGCTTCGAAACGAAAACAAGAAAACTGGTTTTATTTTATTTTATTTCTGTTTGTCTTGGTACATACTGAAATGGGGAATTAATTCTTTTTTTTTCTCATTTTAAAAATAAAGTTTTGACTTTATATATATATATATATATATATATATATATATATATATATATATATATATATATATATATGTATGTATATATATGTATGTATATGTATAAAATAAAAATAAATTAAAGAACACTTTCACATTCTTCTCAGTAGGGTCCCTGTGTTTCCGGCTCATCCAGTGACATTCAGTCTGTCGATTTCTGTTTACTATGATAAGAGTGGTAGTAGTTTACTAATTGATTAATAACAATAATAATAATAGTAATAATAATAATAATACCAGTACAGTGTTTTTTGTTAGGTGTTTTTTATTATCTTGTGTCTTTCTCTCGAATATACTGGGCCGTGGTGTGTGAATGCTGTAGTCGTTCCATGCAAAGAGCAGTGGCACTGCGCTGTCTGCAGGACTTCTGTCACCCTCTGTGGTTTTGGTTCAGATATCTCACCTGGTGTGAAATGGATGGTAATGGTGATCACAACGTAGCATTGCTGACCACCACCTCCTGATCAGTATCCCCGAGCACAGATCATTTCGTAGAACATTAAATTTCTTCGGCTGTGTTGGAGTTCGAAGGATGGGTTTGTCCCTGTTTTCAGCACTACTACCGCTGCAGCTATCTTAACCTGTGTTAGTGAGGGACAGCTAGCTTGACTGAAGATTTTTTTTCAGCTTGCTTGTTGTCCTCCTTTACCCCCTACCTTTTGCTGATTTTAAAAAGCATATAGTGATCCATGTTAGTACATCAGGCACTAATTCCAATCTTTAATCTGGTAGAGGTAGAGGCAGTGGTCTGCTTCTATCCCAGAAATGCCACACTGCCCTTTTTCATATCCATCCATTAAATTCCACATTATTATTATACACACTAACCTTATTGTCATCTATTGCACACCAAACTCCATGGAAAACTTCAGAGATGAGATAGATATCCTCCTGAGTCTCCAGTTGCTGTAACTGAATCTCCTATTACAACAATATTCAATCCTCTTCCTCCTTTCACTATTGTCTTCCCTTGTAACAGAACCTCAAATCAAGCCCCTCAAAACGAATGACACTGAGAGGACAACGTGGTGGACAACATGGTACTATATGAGTGGACAACATGGTCCATTGACTCCCATTTTGCAGTTTTGAAGCCTTTATTTGGTCACCATCTGAGGAACAAATCTCTGCTGTGTTCTATGATTTTCATCTAGATCTGACACCTGCAGTACGTTACCTAACTGAATGGAGAAGTGCTCTTTTTTGCTCCGCTCCTTCTGTCAGTGGAGTTCGTTTAAAAAGGAGAGACTGGCTAACTTGATTCAAGCTTTAGATAAGGTTATACAGTCAATAGTAAATTGATATGAAATATAGCTAGTGTTAGCTGCCTTGGTTTACAAAGGATTTAAAAAGTCCCCTCATCATTTCAATTTCATTTTAGAGCTAAAATCAATAATCTTACATGACCTGTATGTGCATCAGCATTCAGGCCTACTGGGTAGTAGCAAGAATGAGATGCAAGAATGCAAACAGCTACAGTTACTGTGTTTTCTTGAGTTATCCATGTTTCTGTCAGGGCCTGGAAGTGCATGAAGAGACTCCAAGGCTGAAATTAAGTCAGTTTTGTGGACAACACTCTCAGGAAGGTTAGAGCCCAGCTGTGACCACTGTCTAAGACTGAGTGACAAAAATGTAGCAGACAATCTTTGAATATATAGATAGTTATATGAATTAGTTAGAGGTTTCAGGGGGAGCTGGGTGACTAAAACTCAGATGTGTGTGAACTGTATAGCACTATATATAACTTAGCCTGCTTTACATTTTAATAGTGTAAAACAACAGAAAGAGTTAAATTTCATATTTAACCTGTAATCAATCAATTTATTACACTTTAAGATCTAGTACTTGCTCAAGGCTTGCTCAATGTATGCAGAGTCAACAAAAAGAAATGTGGCAAAGCAGACTTCTTTTTTTTATGCACCTAAAAAAACAGAGTGATTTACCAGTTGGGATCAGGCAGGCAGTATACAAGTTTATAAGTAAGGTTTTATAAAGTCTGATTTTTATTATTTCTTATTTATATTGTTTTACAAACCTGTTCAATCCGATATTTTTCTTGTTGTTTTTTAGCTGCCCATAGTATGTCCCTACTTAAAGAGTGACTTACATTTTTCTTATTTGTAAGCACTGGGATTTGAACTCATAACTTTCCAATCAGTAATCCAATGTCATAACCATTTAACTACGTTTTCCCCTATTGAAGTCTTATGATTTCTTTGATTGTCTTTTTTCATATCATTGTGAAAACCTTTGAGCTACATTTCATGTGTAAAAGATGTTATACTACTACTACTAATAATAATAATAGTATTTTTTTGTTGTTGTTGTTGTTATGTCTGTGTGTAATGTGAGACTGTGTTCTACAGTAGTGGTTGATGTTACCGGGTATGCTACAGGTGTTTTGCAGGGGTGTGTGATGTCGCAGCGTTTGTTCAGCAAGGTGTTGGGTTTTATCGGCTATACTGTTCAGTATGGCTGCATCGCTCACTGCACATTTCAGTACATTGGAGAGTTTGTCATGGTGAGTTCACTGAACATCAATTACATCTGTTTTCCTAACTCACAATACATATGAAGTTAAACATAATCACATAAACAACTCATCCAGGCCTCCCAGCCAAGGTATACATAATTCCAAATAAACGATTTTGTTGCCATAAAAAAAATAAATTTGTCTTAGTACAAGCAAAACAGTTTGTAGTTGGTCACCTGCTATCTAAGTCATAGCCCTCCTAGAGCAGTACTGACTGTATACTCCCCACCAGACACAATTTTATTCTGCTAGCTCCTGCATAACAGGATTATTCCATTCTATCACTACTTACGTTGACAGTTCACAAAACACAAGGCTTTTTAATTCCATTCCACTTCACAAATACATTTGGCAATACTGTCACATAACCAGCCTATGTTCAATACTACAGTGTTACTGCACTGATTCTGAAAAAAAAATTGAATGAATGCACCTAGAGCCTAGACAGCATAGAGTATAAACACATTGCTACAGAAGACTAAGAAAACTCTTCTAAATATGACAAGTAAAATAAACTGTAAATTCTAATTAAAATTGTTGTGTGTTTACTTACAATACAATATCTATGAATTACAGAAGTTTAAGTGTAGCCACAAATGAATTAAACCAGTACATGTATTTGTAATAGCTAAAGTGTTGACACAGTAACTACCACAAACACAACAGTGATCATAGGTAAACTGGATGGAATGGAAGATATAGCAAACTTTATAAGAAGCCATATTCAAACACAGATTTTCACACACCCAAGGATTCTAGCACAGATGCTAGCTAGCAGACAGTTGACAAACTTGTAGCTAACTAGCCTACAACGTAGCTGCTGTATCCATGTGTGTGCATGGATGTGCTTGTAGCAAATGAATGACTGAGTTCTTAGTCACAGCGGCCATGGCTTAAGTAACTCGTAGCTGACCTACTTCAGTCAGAAGATTGAGATTAGAGCTTCCTTTCTCCTCTGCAAGTTTTGAGTCAAATATGAGCCATATGCCACAGCCCAAGAATGCTATTAGCTGGATACTACATAATAGTACGTACAACATGACTTTGTGGTAAAGGTCTTGACAAGAATCATAGTGAATCATATATTCACATTATTGTGTATTCTTTAATAATAGTAATAGTAATTTGAAAAGGTGGTCTCTTGGTCTCAACTAACACACTGTCAGCTGATTTTGAGGTAAATAGGAAAAGAGCAGACACTTAGACTGACATATGTAAATATATATGATTCGTATGGGATTGTCCTGGGTGCTATGGAGTTTCACTCCATACTGAATTTGTTAAAGTAATATGTGATAACTGCTCCTGACTATATTTTTTGTGCTTTGTAATGTGTGTATCAACAGAGCAAATAGACATTAGATTTAAATAAACAAGTTTTATCACTAAATGAACAAGAACATGTAATAGCGTCTGACTTCAGTGCCTTTCATGCAGCTTGTGTCGGGTTTGCATTCAAATTTTAACCACATGCATTTACACTTGTACTCAAATGTGTCTCTGTTCAGACTGAAATACATTAGTTATATTGTATGCTAATATGCAAATTAGTTAATTACATTTTAAATCCAGCTTCTAGCGTTCCTTGTTTTTAGTTGTTTCATGAATAAAATGGTTTCCATTTCAAAATTTGTGACTTTTTGTGATAACTTTTTGCTAACATTTCGTTTTGAACACAGCCAGTCAAACAAAATGGGTCTTGTGGTAATGTTTGCATGTGTGTGTTAATTCCCCGTGCAGTGTTCAGGACCGTCAATGGAGCCAACCATCACGGATCACGACATTGTTTTTTCAGAACGCCTCAGCAGACACTTGTATCGCATAGAGAAGTGAGTGTAGTTTGCTTGCTCAGAGTGGAGTCTGTGTGTATGTGTTTTGCTATAAAATATATAGATGGCCTTAGACGGCTGATTAGTGAACTGGAAGTTTCCATAAGTGTGTGTGTTGAATTTCAGAGGGGACATTGTGATTGCTAAGAGCCCATTTGACCCAAACATGAACATATGTAAACGAGTTATTGGACTGGAAGGAGATAAAGTGTGCACCAGTGGACCATCGGATATATTTAAGACACACACTTTCGTAAGTATAAACTGTATATGTGTCAATATGTACTGTGTTCTTTGACTATGTAATACCTGGAAGTCAAATCAAGTGTCAAGTCAAGTCAAGTGGAGTTTATTGTCATTTCAGCCATATACAAGTACAGAGTGAAACAAAACAACGTTTCTCCAGGACCAAGGTGCTACATAAGACAAACACAGAACTACAGGGACTACATAATTTATACATAAAGTGCACAAGTGCAAACATGTGCAGACAGCACAAGACAGAACAAGACAGTACAATGACTACAGCGCCGACCAGTACGCAGTTCTGTTTAAAAGTGACCTAGTGACAATAGTGCAAATGTTTCAAGAGTACGATATAAATAAATGAAGTAGTGTAAACATAAGAGTAGTAGCAGCATAAACATGTGCAAAAACTTGCATAGAGGATGGAGGATGCGTGTGTGTGTGTGTGTGTGTGTGTGTACATATGTATGTGTGTGTGTGTGTGTTCCTTCAGTCCAGTTCCTAAGTATTGAGGAGTCTGATGGCATGAGGGAAGAAACTATTGCACAGTCTGGTCGTGAGGCCCGAATGCTTCGGTACCGTTTACCAGACGGCAGGAGGGTGAAGAGTGTGTGAGGGGTGTGTGGGGTCGTCAATGCTGGTGGCTTTACGGATGCAGCATGAGGTGTAAATGTCCGTGATGGAGGGAAGAGAGACCCCGATGATTTTCTCAGCTGTCCTCACTATCCGCTGCAGGGTCTTACGATCTGAGACGGTGCAATTCCCAAACCAGGCAGTGATGCAGCTGC